AAAAAATTTTTTTGATTCAACATTCAGTTTATCCGTGTGTTTGTGTGTTGAAGTCATTTTCGTGTTAGGGCTATGATCACCGGCTTAGAGAAAACTAAAAAAAAAAATCAAAATTCATTTCCAAAAAAAGGCCCACGAATAACATTATCATTGGTGATGGTTTTTTATCCCTCTTTTGGAAATAATTTTAATCATTTATTTAATTCATTTATGAAAATGAATGAATGAATGAATATACAATGAAAATAAATTTTTGAAAAAAAATTAAGAAAATAGAAATGTATCTTTTGATTATAGGTGGGATTGCTTAAATACATTACAAACGATGATAATATTTACCCAAAACTTAAGTAAAAAAAGAAGATTTTTCCTTTATTTTCATTCGAGATATTTGCCTGGCTCCTTGGCCTTAGGACATTCGATATTTTTTTCTGTTTCTTTTTATTTTATTCTCTAAATATCGTTCAAGTTTTTTGTTTTTCTTTTGTCTATTAGTTGGTTTCGAATGACCAAATAGACCAAATGACGACGAAGACGATCATCATCATCATTATCATTATCATCATGGTGATGATGATGATCATCATCATATTAATAGACGTATGTAGTTTACAATTGTTGGTGTTCAAATTCGATGGCTTCTTGATGATTACAGGCCTATGTGATTCAACCAACTACTTGGGTCTTTCATATTCTCCTCATCTTATATATCTTTCACTTACTAATGATCACACATAAATTTACAATGATATTTTTTTTATATATAAAATGATCTACATCAAATGTAATGATCAGTGTAAGAAAAGTAAAAAAAAAAGAAAAAGAAAAATGGTTTCAAAATGATCATGGATATGGATAATAACTAGCTTTGTTGTTGTTGTTGTTTTCATTATTAGAAAAAATTATGTTCAATTGATAGTTGTTTTTTATCATTTTTTTTAATATTCTTTTTAATTTTCGTTGTAATTTTCTTTTTATTTATGTATTGGTAAAACAATAAAAATCATTTAATTATCAAAAGATAATTCATTTTTTTGCAGAATTTAAATCTTTCATATATAGATGGACACTATATTAATAGTGAACAAAAGAAGAAAAACTAAAACAACGAAAATTCTGTTCATTAAAGAAACTATAAGTCACCGTCATAAAGGCGTGTTAATCTTTGTTTTTTGTTGTTGTTGTTCTGTTTGATTTTTTGCTTCAACTACCCTCTTGACTGAATAAATTAATTAGAAAAACACAATGAACAAAAAAAGAAAATTTTCTTGCAACATTGAAAATGTTTTTAACACATTTATGCATGGTTTTTTCACAGTTCTGTATTCATTTACTATTTTTTTAGCTAAATAAACCAATTTAATTATCACGAGGAATCAAATATTGAATCTATATCTAAATGAATGAACAAAGTGAAAAATCAAACAAAAATTATTCAGATCCTTTATTTTGGTATACCTCAATCTGATTATGTATTCCACGATTTTAATATATACGGTGTTCTTTTCCTTTTTTTGGGGGATTTTTAATATATTCTCAGTTCGTTTTCCATTACCATCACCGTGATCTTCATCGATTGCATAAATTTTTTTTTTGCTATCTTAGTCTGAAAAATATACACAAACACACACACATACATCATAGATATATTTTGTCAAATAAATCAATGAAATGAATTTCCAAAGGAAAAAAATGTTTCCTTTCATATTTTTTATAAAGATGAGATGAATATTTCTACTAGAAAATTATTCATCTTGATTTTTCTCATATTTTTTCATTTTTCTACCTATTTCTCCTTATCCGATTTCATCTTTTTTTTTTGTTTGGGAATTTTTCTTAAACTTTGTTGAATTTTCATTCGATATTTTCTGATAAATCCATCAATATGCAAGAAAAACACACTCTCTTGTTCTCTCTCACACACACGATTATTTTTACTAATTTAGGAAAAAAAATACCCGAATATAAAAAAAAACAACAATCACTTTCTCATAGTAAAGATATTAACCATATTTATATTAAACATCATCATCATCATCATTATCATCATCATGAAACCAATTAATCATCATTTTGACTTTTTTTTTTGTTATTTCTGAATGGAAAAAAAACATTTGAAAATGTAGTGATGAACAAATTTCTCTATTTTTTCTTATAATCTTTATATGAAATAAAAAAAATGATGAAAAGAAATCCAAACAACAACAACAACAGTAGTAGTGAATAACCCAGTGGCTTAGGTAAATTCCAGCAAATTTGTTTTTCTCCAGATTGTAGTGGTAATCATTTATGATAACAATTTTGTTTTTTTTTTCGTACAAATAAAAGTTGAAATGAAATCAAGTGATTCAGGATATACACTATATATACATTCAACATGCTGATGGGGATATGTGAACAGATTGAATAGCAAATCCTGGCCATCATGGCTTTGAAACAAAACAAAAAAATTTTGTTTTTATTTTCTCGCTATATGTGTGTTTGTGTGGGTTTGCGTGCATCATCAAACAGGCACGAAACACATGGATTTCGTTTGAAATAAAAATGCACGATTGGAAAAAAAATTTTCATTCATTCATTCATTCATTTCATTTCTTTCTACAATTTCTTCTGGATGAAGAAAGAAAAAAAACATCACGAACATAATCACGAATGAATCTTTTTTTTTTCTTGAATTTTTGTTTCAAAAATAAAAAATAAAAACAAATTCATTTCTTCTTCATCATCGTCTTTGGAAGAAAAAACAACATACATACACCACATACACAAGGTAGAAAAAAGAACACGCCTCTATTCTTAGTCAAAACTCCGCCCATCCTGATCATCCTGATCATCATCATCATTTTACCTGAAAAAAATGTTGAGAGGTGAAAAATTTCCTTTTTTTTATCTTACAAAATTTTTTGTTTTCAATCGTAGATTGGCAATGAAAAAAAACGATGTAAAAAATTCATTTCTCAAACAAATTGAAAATTTTCATCAAAAATTATTGAATTTAAATGGACCTATAGTCAACACCCTCTTATATACAAAATCAAATCGATAACCATACATTAGTGATGTGTGTGTATGTGTTGTTAATTAGTTAGTAAATAATGTTCATTAATGATTTTGAAGTGAAAAAAAAACAAAAACAAAATCAATGATTCTTATGCATGGAGCATGAAAAAAAAGCTATGTTGGATTGTTATTTACAAATCATTATTGTTTGATTTCAATGAATAATGATAAATTAAATGATTGATAATCATTGTTTTTGTTGTATTTATCTAAATAATATAACCGGTAATCAAAAAAAAGTAATGTAAAAAAAAATTATTACCTTGAAAATTTAATCCACAAACAGTAGCTTACCACAACAATCGAATTATATCGAAGCAAAAAAAAATCACTACTTTCAAAAAAATTTTGTCATTTTATAGATTTTTCATATAGATTATTAATATCGATGATCAATGCTTTTCCCTAGTTTTGGTTTTTGAAATGATGATCATTATAATTATTTTGGGTACTTTGATTGTTCAGTTTGATTATTATTATCATAACTGATCAATAATAATAATAATAATAATAATAATGATCCTCAACAATCATCATCAACAACAACATCATCATACAAAATGATGATCATAACTTACTTATCAAAATAAAGAAAGATAGTAAGAAATAAAAAGTGAAATTATTGTTGGGAAAAATAATTTAATGTTTATAATTTGTTTTTTTTTTTTTTTGAATGATGAACAAATTGATACATTATACTTTTTATTTATAACATCATCATATAGATAGAAAATTGTTGAAAAGAAGTAAATTCTTGTACATAAATGTTTGTCTGTATGTGTGTGTCAATCATTTGGGAAAATAACCAAGAGAAAAAAAAGAAACGTTTTATTAAATTAGATTGTCGGTTTGTTTTTTTTTCGGTTGGTAATCATTTCTTTTTTTTCTCTACAACATCAACACACTTATGATTATGATGATTATGATGATGATTATGATGACAATCATCTGAATTTTTATTCAAAGACCAATTATTATTATCCATGATCGAGGTGTGAAAATTGTCTTGTTTACAAGCATACACACACACACACCCGGTAACATGATGGGCGGATATATCATCATCATCATCGAATCTTATCATTATATCAATATAATAATGGTCATAATAATGATGATAATGATAATAATAATAATAATAATAATGATCCTCATCATCATCATCATTATAATCATCCATTGTCATAAATGATTGCTATCATCTTTTTTGTTGTTGTTGTTGTTATTGTTATACAAACAAAACATTCATTCGAATGAATTATTTTATTTCATCGATAATACTGCGTTTGCTCTAATCGAACAAATTCTGTTTTTGTTTGTTTTGTTTCGTTTCGTTGAAAAAAAAATTAATTTTTTTCAAAAATCAAATAATTTCATTTGAAGAATAAATGTTTATGTCCGTTGCTGTCATCTGGTGTTGAAAAATCAAAAAAAAATAAACAATTCTAAAATCAATCTTTTTTTGGGAATTTAAATTAATTGGATTTTTCTCGGTTGAAATTAACAAAACGAAGGAGAAAAAAAAATAAAACTCAAGTGGTCTATTTCACATTTATCACTCAATTAATGTGTTTGGATGGATGGATGGATGGATGAAAACACTTGTAAAATTAATCTGTCTTTAAATAAAATCATATAATCAATGTAGTGACAAAAATTTCCAAGTAATCTTGTTTAATTAATCTTGTTATCCGAATGATAATAGCTTCTTCTAATTACAACAACAACAAAAAATCCTGCAATGTTTGCTTTTTTTTCCTTATTGATTGATGATGATAAAAATGGATAAACGTTTTTCTTTATACATTTCCATATCTTTAGATTATAAATAACGGGCAAACAAATTAACAACAAGTAATTTGGTTATAATCCCGGTATACTTAGAAATGTAAGTTGTTGTTGTCGTTGTTTAAATAAACAATATTTGCTCATGAAGTTGAATACTATAAAACCATTTAATTTTTGTTACTTAAAAAAAATCATTCGTCTTTTGAATCGTTTCCTATTTACAACAGCCATGGATAATAATAATGACAAATGCAATGATAAAAATGATAATTTTGAAATCATATATGACACTTTTCAGATGAAAAAAAGGTAAGTGAGAATTATAACTGAATATAATGATAAAAATTAACATAATCATTAGCCAAGATGGACGATTACAATTACCGAATAAAAATCTGACAAATCTAAAATCGGATACATTATATCATTTGGGAATGAGCACAGATACACATAATTTTGAACAAATGTTCGGTGATATTAAATTTGTTTGCATGGGTGGTACGAAAAGCCGAATGTTTGAATTTGCTAAATTGGCTGCCCATGAATTAAATATAACGGAACCGCAAATTGTTGATCTGATTGGTAGCCCTAATCGATTTTCGATGTACAAAGTTGGACCGATTATTTCCGTATCGGTAAAAATGAATGAATAAATCGTTAAATTGATATTCATCTTATGAACATCATTTATTTGCTTTTTTATTTAGCATGGAATGGGTATTCCTTCGTTATCGATATTGATCCATGAAATTCTGAAATTGCTTCATCATGCTAAATGTACAAATGTTACATTGTTTCGAATTGGCACATCGGGTGGAATTGATGTTCCAGCGGGCACAGTAGTTATTACCGAAAAAGCTGTCGATGAATTATTACGGCCTTTTTATGAGCAGGTAAATATCTTGAAAAAGACAAGGTACATATGATTAATCAAATCTTTACAGCGGATTTTTGGCAAAATAGTTCGTAGACTGGTTGCTTTCAATCAAAATTTGATTAAAGAATTGAAACGAATCGCACAATCACAAAACAATCAAGGATTTCAAACGATAACGGGTACGACAATGTGTGCAAATGATTTTTATGAATCTCAATTACGAATCGATGGAGCTATTTGTAATCATACTATGGATGATAAATTTGAAAGGCTAAACTATTTAAAAAAAGCCGGCGTTGTCAACATCGAAATGGAATCACTTGTGTTCGGATCAATGTGTCACTATGTTAATGTTGATGCTGCTATCATTTGTGTTACATTGGTTAAACGAACTGATGGTGATCAAGTTCGAGTTGATAAACAGGATTATCATGAAATGCAACAACGACCACAAAGATTAGTAATGGATTTTATCAAACAACGTTTGGCGATTAACCATAACAATAGTAACCATCATTCTAATGATAATAAATGATAACAAAATTATTATTCGATTTTATTATAACAATTATTTTTTTGACCAAGACAAATTTTTAATTGTTTTATAAATTATAATTTCATTTTCTTAATCGGATTTGACAAAAATATTCGAAAAAAATGATCGTTTAAATATTAAATTTCAATTAATTCTCCTCTTTAGTACATTGTGGTGTTTAAATATTTTGTTGGCTGATGAGTTTAATTATCATTATTATTGTTAGAGACAAAAGTATGTTTTTTTCTTTGTTGATATTATTATTAACAAAAGATATGACGTTTTCTGTTATGTTTAAATTAATTTTGTGGCGGTATTGATGATTTTGTTTATCAATTCGAATCACTGCTATGAAGTGTCATAATGTCGTATGATGATTTGCAATGGATAATTACTAAATTTTAAAATACCATTCCTATAGGATCAATTAACTATAACCTTTTAAAAGTATATCAATAATTACTGCGTAAATTTAATTATTACAATCGATCTATAAAAATGGGATCAACTTAATATTATTTCCATCATTCTGTATTTTTCAATTATGGCTAACCATCGATGGACATTTTTGTTGTTGATTTTTATTTTATTTTTATCGCCGATTAAATCATCGAAATCATCGAAATCCTCAAAATTTGATTACATTTTATTGGCAACACAATGGCCAGAAAGTTTTTGTGAACATAACAAATGTATTCATCATCAAGATCGTTGGTTAATACATGGAGCATGGCCGGAAAATAATGATGGTTCCTATCCACAGTATTGTAATCGTAATAGTAAATTTAATCCTGATGCAATTAAATCAATCGAAGCAGAATTGATTATCAATTGGAAATCAATAAAATCGGGCAGTTCAAATGAAAATTTTTGGTCACATGAATATACCAAACATGGAACGTGTGCTATCGAATGTCCTTTGATGCGTGATGAATTGGGATATTTTAAATCAACATTGAATGCATTTAAAAAGTTGCATATTGAACAATGGTTAGCCGATGATGGTGTGTTTCCTTCGGAAACACAAACATATTCATTACAAATTATCCATGATTCCATTCGAAAAGGTTTCGGTTATCGAGTACAAATCCAATGTACACAAAGTAAACGACATGACTATCCTATCATTTTACAAATTAATTTTTGTCTATCCAAACAAAATCTGTCACCATTTGATTGTCAATCCGAAGATGTTGGCTGTTTTGATTCAAAAGTTGGCTATCTACCCACAAGAAAATGATAATTTTCAAATATTTTAATTCGTTTGATTTATTACATTAAAAATTGACAATTAGTTAAGATAACATATTTGAATCAATATCAAACTCATGTTCTAAACTGAATAAATTTTCCGATTCAACAGGATCCATTGCCATTGAAATGTCCTCAATAGAATGAAAGAGTTCAGTTTCATTTTCCAAATCATCATCATCATTTATTGGTTGATCAGGATATTTTGGTTCCAATTTTTCTGGGCTTTTCTGCTTAGGACAAAACAAAAGATAATCAGATAAAAATTGCCAGAGGATGGCTGCATAAGCCAATTTTAAAACTAAACGTTACCATAATTTTAGTGATTTCATTCTTTTCAAATTTGATTTGAGTATGTCGTAAACAAGAATTACGATGAACATAGGAAACGACAGGCATTAAACAAGGAGGTGTTCCATTAGCACACGGACGATACAAAATTTGATATGGATCATACAAGATGTCTAAAAATTGGAAAATAGTAAAAAAATGAAAAGTTTAGCAATTTATTAAATGTTTGTGTGGAATGCTTACGTGTACGACAATAATTAGAAAGTGGAACACATTGCTTTTGGCATTGTTGGGCATCTTTTTTGTAAATACAAGTCGATGATGTCGACGATTTTTCCGTCACTGGTTTATCTTCTATCAAATTTTGACGAATTTCACTTGCCTTTTTCTGAATCAATTTTTCGGATCCTGAAAAATTATGATATTTAAACATGGCTTTCATTATTTTATAATCTTGATCTTCATTAAGTGCATCGATTATGGTGTTTGAATCATTTATCGTTGCTATCGTCGATGAAGATTCCAAGGTTTTTCCATTCGAACTTTGATTTTCACAAAGTTTATTAGTGGCCGCCGATAACTTGGCTAAATAATATTGTCTCATTTTTTGCTTCAACATCTGACGATAATAATTGAGCAGATTAATGTACAATGTCTGAAGTCTAAGCATTTTATCACGAAGAATATGAGATATTTCTTCGGCAGAATAAACACCAGCATGACGTAACGGATCGTCCATGTAGCTTTCAACAGATTCATTATCTGAATCCAATGAATCTAGATTGAGAACATCAGCCAACATTAAATGTGAAAAATCATCATTATTTTGACTTTGATAATGTATAGCATTTATGGAATCGGTTATTCGAGTTTTTAAAGTTTTACTTGGTACAACACTTTTATAATCTGGAAGTTCCCAATCACCATTCTTACGTCGATGATCATGTTCATCGCTAGGACAATAATGTTCCAATTCTTCGAATTTTCTTTTTAAACTTGTTTTCTTTCCATCAGCCATTGAATTCTGATAATTTTCCATGCAGGCATTCTTGCGCCGTAATAGATTGAATTGTTGAATATGCCATGGACAAAAAGCGGTATCACGATCACGACGATCATAACGACGGGCAGCTTTCGGACAGCGTTTATTTGTTTGTGGGTGAATATATGAACATTGTTTGAACGGAGCATTCTTATCAAATAGAATATGACGTATGCAATAGTTATAATTTTCAAGACGATTTTGTAGACAAAATCTATGCGGATATAGACAAAAATTATCGGCATTTGTTTGATGTGAATTAGGTCGTTGTTGATGATGAAGAAATTGGTTGAAAAGTGATGATTGACGTTTCAAATATATTAATTGCTGTTGTTGTGATCGATGACTACTGCTGCTGCAGGCCGTTGATCTATTTGATTTTCCCTGAGAGGAATTTTGTGATTTATATGACATTGTTTTGAATATCTATTATATCATCTAATGATGATTATTTTGAATAAGATTTTTAAATTATAAAAGTTGTTACGATTATTTGAAATGATCAGCCCATTCAATAAACTAAGGATTATCTCATTTCATCTCATATCACATAACAAAAACTACGAGCTTGTTTGCATGTATTTCAATCACCGATCAAGGCAAACACACAACACGACAAAAACAACAACAACAGCGAAAAGGCGAGCGAAAAAAAAATTGCGCTCGCCGCGGCTCCGTTCACCGACACTGTAAATACCTGTAAATTCATTAATATTGATAATGATTTTAAAAAGATCGGTTTAATCCTGTACTGATAAAGAATTAAATTTTAATATAATTTGTTATATTTTTATCCAAATTTTGACAAAATAAATTCGATTTTTAATATTAATTAATTGATAAAAATATCATTTTGTCCTATCTTATATGAATGTTCTTCTACATAAGCAGTCATCTTGATTTTTGCTTTGGATTTGTGTGTGTTGGAAAAAATCGCTTGCTCTGTGTGGATTTTCATCTTGATAGACTGAATTTTTTTTTGCTTTAATCTGACTTTTAAATTAATTTAACTGATAAATTACCATCTTGAGAATGTTCAATGAATTCGGCATTTTATTGTCCACAACCTGATCGACCAATAAATCAGCCGTAGCATTCGATCTAGATCGATCGTAGGTTGGGGACATCCATGTCCGCCAAAACCCAAGCAAAAAAAACAAGACTTACCCGACCTAATAATGGCCCAACGTGAACGTTGGTATTTTACAAAAGATGAACTCGAGAATAGTCCCTCAAGAAGATGTGGAATCGATGCCGAAAAAGAACTTTCATATCGACAACAAGCAGCTAATCTTATTCAAGATATGGGCCAAAAATTGAAAGTGTATGTTTTGATTTCTAAACATATCTTTGAATAAATCTGAAATTTTCAATCTAATTTTTTTTATTAATTTCTTTTTCTTTCATCATCTCATTATTGTTTATTTTCAAATGCAGAAATCAACTGGTAATCAATACCGCTATTGTTTATATGCACAGATTTTACACTCAGCATTCGTTCTCTCGGTTCCATCGTAATGTAAGTCTATTTTAATCCATATTTTGTTGTTCTCATTCTAATCAGATGAATTTCTATTCAAAGTCCATAGCTTCTTGTGCACTATTTCTTGCAGCCAAAGTTGAGGAGCAACATCGAAAACTTGAACATGTCATCAAAGTTGCTCAGATATGTTTGTACCGGGAAAATCTTGATCCACGTAGTGAGGTATTATTCTTTAGCTTGAAATAATTTCATCACATTTTTAATTATTGAATTTACAGCAATTTCAGGCACTTGCCGCCGAATTGGTACATCATGAGAATTTAATGCTACGGACGCTTGGTTTTGACCTCAGTGTACAGCATCCCCACACCTATGTAGTCAATTGTTTTGATCTTGTTCGAGGTAATTGGATTCATTATAATTGTTCTTTTATCACTGAACAATATGATTTATTATTTGAATAAATAGCCAATAAAGATTTGGCTCAGGCATCGTACATAATGGCAACAAACAGCCTGCATTTGACAACGATGTGTTTGCAATATAAACCAACCGTGGTCGCCTGTATCTGTGTATATTTCGTCTGTAAATGGGCATCTTTCGAGGTATGACTTTTATTAACAAGTAATATTGTTCATTTTTTTAAATGTAAAAATAGCTTTCAAGATCTATCGAAGGTCGTGATTGGTGGACCTATGTTGATCCTAATGTCACTCAAGAAATGCTCGAAGAATTAACCGGGGAATTTTTATCAATATTGAAAAAATGTCCTTCGCGATTAAAAAAGATATTATCATCAAGTCGTTTGAATCCTATTATACCCAATAGTCCATCAACGAAACCAAGCGTAATAAAATTGATTCATTTGTTTATCATTTATTTTAAGACTTAATTATCATTACAGGAGTACAAACGAACGAGTGAACACACCAGCATCAGTGGTAATAGACCTCAACATCATCATTCGCATCATCATCAAAATTCCTCCATACCGGCACAGAAAATGTCACCCAAAGATCCCAAATTCTCATTGCATGTCAATAATGTTCGATCATCCATACCATCAGGAAGTCATGGCCCTGGTATTGATCATCATCAATCACATCATCATCATCATCATTCTCATCATCAACATCAACATAATTCAGAACAACCAATTCATCATCATGGTTCCAAACAATCACAATCAAACGTGACATCAAAACAGCAACATTCATATGCAAACTCATCTTCGAAATCTGCTGCTGGAAAAAATCCTGCCTCATTAGAATCATCATCGATGGAAAAAATGAAGAAAGAATCATTACCGAATGACAATAATAATAATCATAATCATATTAGCAGTAATGTTCCAAATTTAAAATCCAATTTATCTGTGATATCCTCCTCAAGCAACAACAATACTAATAACAATAGACTTACAGGCAGTAACAATCTCAATAACAACAATAATGATGTCATAAGCCATAGTAACAATAATTCGTTTAATGATCCGTTATTTCCAATTGATTCACATTTATCAATGTTCTCACCGGGATCAGAATATTCCGATTATTCACAAACAAAAAAAGATTCATTTGCTGATTTTAAAATGGAATTCTCTGATAATGAAGATTCGACAAATTTCAATTATTCATTACCTGGTCTTGGATCATCATTAATAATGATGAACGATTCAAATGAGGATACCAAATCAAATGTTTCAAATTCTTTTGAATTTTCCAGCACCACGAATCATAAATCGTATAATAATATAAGCAACCCTGTTGGAGGAAATACTGATTTAAAATCGTCTTCATCGTTGCCGTTGTTCAATGAATTGGCTTCGACTGCAAATAATAATCATCACAATCCAACCCCATCCTTATCACAATCATCTTCATTGTCCAATCTTTTACCAAACAAAGATACCGAATCAGAACCATTGGAAGATAAATCCTTACATTCATCAGTGAGCAAATCATTGTTGAATACGGCATCCAAGATTCCAACAGTGTCAACGAATCCTGTGAATACACTTGATTCGATTATAGGATCACTCACTAACAATAGTAATGTTGATTCGAAATTATTGCCATTACAATTGCCCATTGGAACTAATCAACCATCAACAGCAGTGCCACAAGCAGCGGCTGCATTCAATCAATTAATATCTGATACTTATCATTCATCACAACCACCATTATCAACAACATCGGGCATCAATAGTCTATTGCTAGATGATGAACTATCAAAACATTCATCGACATCATTTACGCAAAATCTTCATCATAAAGATAAACATAAACACCACAAAGAGAAACATAAACACAAAGATAAACATCATAAACACAAACATAAAAAAGATCGTGGTGATGGACATCACCATCATCATCGGCGAACATCCGACGCATCGTCATCATCGTTTGCTTTGATACCAGATGGTGATGGTGATGATCGATTAATTGATCAAGTCAATCGACCTCCACCAATCAAATTAAAAATACGTAAAAATGATCTTTCCACCGAAATGGATCAACGGCCGTCGACCATTGCCGATCAATCGCCCACATCCGCTGCTACTGTTCCACCTGCAGCACCGCTAAAATTAAAAATTAATTTAAAACAAAAAAATATTTCATCATTTGAACACCAGCAACCATCAAGCAAAAAAAGAAGAAATTGATTATACAATGACCGATTCTATCGTTTGCACCTGTCGATAGTTTTTTTCGGTTTTTATTTTATTCTGACATCATTGTTATATTTCGAAATTCGTTGTAAATTTTCTTAATCAATCCTCATCATCATAATATAAACGTAAACAAACGAAAAAATGCACGCTACGAAAATTTTATTTTGTTTTGTTCGTGGTCTAAAAAAAAGAATTTTCATCAGTTTTTTTTTTGTTCTCTATGTTATAACTTTGTAAATGTAAATACAAATCTAAATAACTATTCGATTAATAATCACGAATTTCTGATTTTTTTTAAACAAAAAAACAAAACAAAAAATATTTTATTCCCAACAACAACAACAACAAAAAAAGACAATTAATTTGTTGTGTTATGTTTTTCTGAGATTTTTTTTCAAATTTTCTATCAGCAGCCTTTTCAATCTTTTTTTTTTGTTTTTGTTGTTGTTGTTGAAACATGTTCAAACATTTGAATCTGATGAATTAATCTGATTGAGATTTTTTTTTTAAATTCATTCACACATTCTCAATCTCACATCATTATCATAATCATTATTCTTATTACTGTCATCCGCTGAAATATTTTTTTTCTCTTTCGTCCTTTATTTAAATAATTAATCTATCTTATATAATTAATTAATTAATTAAATCTTCAAATAAAAAAAAATGTTAAATTATATATTTTGTGTGTGTGTCTGTATTTTGAATCATTAGAAGAATTTTGAAAGAGGTTTTCTGGTTTGATTACTTTTGACTACTAACCTTTTCAATCACCATCATCATCAAACTGTCATACTGTTTGGAAATTATTTACAAGTTTATTGTTTGATCGTTTGTTTTTCTGTTGTTGTTGTTGCTGCTGCTGCTGCTGGTTGGATCATTGACAACATCTTACGAGAAATAAATTACTTTTTATGATTATTTTATTGATTAAAAAATGGAAATGATAATCTTATGGTCGATAAATTAATAATTCTTTTACAAAGTTTTTTTTTGCTCATTCTTCTATATTCAATCCTAAATCTTTTTCTTTTCCTTTTTTTTCATTTTGATTGATAGGTAAAAAAATTTCCAGAAGTTAAACAGATTTGCAATCATATTTTATCACATCTTATATTATTTTTATCTGAAATAACAAATAAAAAAACATTGTTGGCTCATTGTAATTTAATCGTTGTAATAATAAAAAATGTTTAACTCCAAAATATTATTCTTTCTGTTGTTATTATTACTTTTTTTTTGTTTGATGTAAAAGCGACGGATCCGTATTAGATAAGTAGCTCAAATAAATTGTAATGATTGACGAAATATCGAAAATATGAATGAACAGTTACATTAATAGATTGTGAAAAAAAATAATGGGAATAATTGAATAAACAAAAAAGAAAACAACGACTATCCGGAGTAAATAGAGAATATAATATAAAAAAAAGTAATGATAATGATTTTGACAAGTGAATGACAACATTTTATAATCATTTTTTATTATTTTAATGATATAAACATCTATGTATTTGATGATGTTTCATGCACTAATAATAATAATAATAATCAGTAGACTGCTTGACGCTAAACAATTCAATCTCTCATTATAAAAATGTTTATATGTTGCAGGTGGTAAATATAATCATTTTGGTAATATAATTTTTAATTTACCTATGTTATTTGACAAAGATAACGATGTGCATGTGTGTTTGTCTTGCTTTTTCTCTATTTTTCATTCCGAATGAATACGACCTGTTTTTTTTCTTTAGATTTGATTTGGTTTTATTTTGTCTATTTGTTCCGGTTACATGTTAAAGCACACACAGCAAAAAAACGACAACAACAGTAGCAACGAACATGACATTTTTTTTTTGCTTATTTATTCATTTTATAAACATACTGGTGTTTAGGGGATTAGTAAAAATCTTACGTTTTGATTGTTGTTTTTTCGTTTTTCTTTAATTATTTGTCGCGGAACTACCATGTATAGATTGATACCTTATCGATTGATTGATTGATTAATCTTACCATTATTAAATTAGCGATGAAATATTAGATTTGTTTTTTTTCTTTTTCATCTTTTTAATTTTGTTTTGTCGGCAAATTATTATTTAATCCTATGGTATAATCGAATGAATTATCTAAATTGATTGCATTGAAGCAATCAATCGTTATCGGTTTTTTCAAATATACATTTTAATCTTAAAATCAAAAAGATCCGAAACGAAAAAACATCAACAACAAAAAAAAACTATAGGACAAATATTTTTATCAAAAAAAATATATGTGCGAGTTCATTTGGCGACAGTAAACAAACAAATGAATTCTGATTTGATTCTCATTCAAATAGAAGGAAAAAAAATGGATGTGTAAACAAAACAACCAAACGACCAATACAATCGATAAATTCCTTGTTGCCCATCTGTGTTGGTTAATTTATATTTTGTTCGACTGTTGTTTTTTTTTGAATTTTTGTTTTTGGTTGTGATTTTAATGTTGAAAATGTTCAAAATTCTTAACAAGAAAAATAAAAACTTTTCTTCCTATTCTCGATCGTGATCTAAATTGTTTGATTTCCTTTTTTTTGTTTTGTTTTGTTTGTTTCCGGAAAATTAAAAAGTTTGCATTCATTTATTTATTTATTCTAAACAAAAAATTGACAAAATTGAAAAATCCATGTATCATGATAATCAATGTAGAATATTCAATATTGGCACAATTGTCTACAATGAAAAATCCCAGTTGATTTAAATTTAATTTTATTATGTAGAATTTTTGATCCATTTATGATCATCCAAAAATGTACCAATCATTTAGCTAATTAAAACAAAAAAAAAGCAAACAAAAAAAGTTCCAAAATTAGCCATTGATTAATTAGAGAGAGACAACAGAAACAACAAAATAATTTGTTCCAATTCAATGTAATAATTACATCAATATGCGAATGGTTTTTTTTTGCCTGTTAACTCATTCCGAAAATGATGAGCAAATGATGAACTCTTGATTGAAAATTCAAATTCAAATGAGAGAATCTCTTAAATTAACGAGAATTTTGCTATAAATGTTCATTATATTTAGATGATTATTAGCTTGAAAAGCTTGACAACATTAATAATAATGATGATGATAAAGACTTTGTTTGCACATTACATTTCATCTATACAATATCTTTTCATTTGTATTTTTTTTATATTCAATATTGTAATGATGATTATATAACAAGATTCACTATTATGTCTATATAAAACGCTAATCAAAAAACGGATATAAAAAATATTAACGAAAATGGATTTGATACTAACATATTTGATCATCAACAACAGAATAATTTCGAATGATGATGATGATCATTATCATCATCATCATCATTATAGTGAAATTTATGTTTATATAGAGTAACGAAAACTTTCTTCTTTTTCGTCATCTTCTTTACCACTTATTCCCGAATGTTAAACAAAAAATCATATCATAAAAAAATTGAGATTGCCAAAACAATAACATTAACAACAACATCCGTATATAGACATAATCTAATGCTGAAAAGGACATGCTCGATTGGATGAATCCATTTCTTTTAATTTTTGTTTTGTTTTGTTTTACTCATTTATTTTACACATTCAATTTATTCACTATTCAAATAAATTATGGAATTTTAAACGTAACTAAATTGTTTTTTTTTGTTCGCTGTTCGCAACTTATTTTAATTTTATTACTATTCGTTTGAATTTTTGTTTTTCTGAACAAAAAAAAATGAACAAAAGGAGATAGAGATAAAAGTTTCAGTCCTCACATGTATTTGTTTTCGTGATTCATTCATTCATCACTATCATCATCATCATCTTTTTATTATTTGTTTTCTCTTTCCCTCTAATACTTTACCAACTGAAAAACAGTTTCTTTTTTCCAATTTTATATTATTTTTTTTTTGAAATTTTCTCTGTCGCCATTCTTCATCATAATAAGATCTTATCCGTGCGTGTTATGTTTTTTTTTTTGTATAGAAAACTAATGAATGAATAAATATTTTTAGCCACGGTTTGTAGGCGGTTTTTGTCAAATGATAATGGCTACTGATTGGTTAATTTAAACCATGTATATACAATATTGTTGTTTTATGTGATAACTGATCTAATTTTTGCTGCTGTTGTTGTTGTTGCAAATATATGACACGCATGTGTAATTTTTATCTTCTTTTCACTATATGTCTTTTTAGATGTGTATGTTAACATTGCTGTTAGCTGTTTTATTATCGTTATTTAACTTCTAAAATATATATCTACATCATTAAAGCATCAAATAATGTTGACAAGAATAATTCTCTGTACATTATCGATGCCAATTAGTGTGATAGTGTGTGTGTGTGTGTGTGCTACCGATCATCATCATCATCATCGAACGAATATCTTTTGATAAATATGTGTGTATTTAATAAAATATAATGGTATAAATTTAAATGCCATTAATATGTTATAGTAACATTCTTGATATTGTCACATCGACAAACAACATCAGTTCAATTTTGTCCATTTTTTTCGCTTAATTGCTTCAAAAAATCCGTAAATAAAATCGTTTTTTCCCACATTTTTCCAAAATTATTTTGATTTTTTTTTGTCTTGGAAATTTCATTTTCTTTCATCACCGTTCAAATCACTGATGTCGGTAAAAACAAATAGCAAAGTGTCTTCATCATCACCATCGTCTTCATCGTCACCTTCATTATCACCATCATTATCATCATCATCCGCATCATCCTCATCTTCATTATCATCACCATCAGCAAACGAATCGATTATTGAAAATAATCCAAATTTTTCGAAAAAATCACGACAACCAACAAAACCAACAATGGTGAAAACTATTTCGACTGCTAAAATATCTAAACCAAATTCAATTTCATCAAGTTTTTGTATTGAAGCATTATTGGCAAGATCCAGTCATCCAAAAATTAAATCAACAACAATTAATTCGGGAATTAATGAAAATTCATTCAGAAGATCACCAATACTAAAAATTACTGATAATGATGATAATGATGAAACAACCGGATCTCCAAGATCAATATCAAGTCCCATAACAGTAGATGCTGTTACTGTTGCCAAAAATGGATTTGATCCGACAAAAAATATTGAGACATCAATCAATGATCATATTAAATCACCATGGCTTACATTACCTCAACATTCAGCTAATCCGATAACATTATCAACATTGTTCGCTCATCAACAACAACAATCACAACAACATTCTTCATCAATATACGCATCAATATATCCATCATCATCATCATCAATGATTATGAATGCTCAAGATCAAGCAACAATTCACCATCAAAATGGTAATGGCGAAGGATCATCAACAGCAACAACTACAACAACAACAACATCATCATCATCACAATCAATTTCAACATTTCCAACATTGCCATTTTTCACGAATGCATCGGCATTTCATTCAGCATTTCATCAGATTGCTACTGCTGCATCAGCTGGTAAATCGATAGCTGCGGCTGCTGCTTCTATTGGTGATGGACAACAGGCTACTGCAGCCGCTCAAGCATATGAATGGTTAGCCAAAGAGATGCTTTGTCAAAATGGTATGTTACCTGTAAATCATAAAAAAACAATGAATGAATCTAAGTAAATATGATTTGTTTCTATAGAAACCAATATTTATTTATTTGAATCTAATGGATGAGAGGACATTGAGAAATTATTAAATAAAAAAATATATCAGAAAAAAACCAATCCTGTTTTATTTTCGATAAAATTACATTTAGGCTAATTATATATTTACTTATCAATCTTTCAATCATAATGGCTACTGATTTAATTCAATTTATTCGATTGATAAATGTTTACCTAAAGAAAAATAAATAAATTGACACATTCCATTCTCTGTCATGATATCTGATGATGATTATCGTAATAGAATAAGAATGAGAGAAATTTATTACACATCATATAACTTGTGTATGTGTGTATAAATCAAAAAGAAATTGGTGTGATTTTCAAATCTAAATCATATATACAACAATAAGATCAACAAATATTTTTATATTTAGTTTTTTTTCACTGTCGTTGATCGTTTATCAAAATTGATTGACAGCAAGATACGAGTTAATCCATCCAAAAAAGGTGAAAAAGAAATTTATTGATTTTAAATTAAGTAAATAATAGTGTGTATGTTTGCTTGTATTTAATAATATTTGTCAAATTTCAATAATGATAATCGTTTTAATGTCAATTTATAATGATAATGATGATGATAATAATAATGGTGTGATTTTCACCTGTATGTGTATCAATTATGATTATTGAAAACAGATTGTTGGTGTGAATGTATCATAGATATATCTATGATTAATTTGATCTTAATTGTATCACAGGATTCTCAAAATTTCAATCAAAAGTTATTAGACAGATTAATAAAAAGATAATTTGAACAAACAACAGTAAAAGAGAGAAAAAAAAATTTAATAACGACAAATTACATTGAAATTAAAATCTAAATGATTAAATAGTTTGATCACTATCTCACTTATTCAAACCTGTCATTATCATTTAGCCATAATGATATTAATATCAATCGATATTAATAATATTGATTTGAATTTCAAATCATCCAATAATTGATGGAAAATTTTTTTTCCAAATTACAATATTACATTGTATTGATTGACGTTTGTCGATTTTGTTCAATGTGTTTTGTATAGCTTTTGTAATGTTTACGACCACACACAAACACATATGTTACAAAGTTTGAAATGTCCAAATTATTATTATTAAAAAAAACCCTAAAGCAATAGATTAATCAGAATATAGATCATTATGAATGAAAATTTTCTCTCTCTCTATTGACAATTGCATTTATCAATTGTTATGCAAATATAAAATAATGCGATGTGTATTTTACAATGATTTGTATTATTGGTGTATGGTTGGTTGATTGGTGGCACACGTTAGGGTCACGACAATGGTCATCGTACTGAAAATCCAAGAAACAGAAGCCAAAGATTTTTCTCTCTTTTTTGTTTGTTTGTTTGTAATTGATCAAAGTGCAAATTTCGGTCTGCGGTCATGTTAAGGTTAACAATATTTTTATTTGTTTATCATTGACACTAGCTGGACATGAAAATCAATGAATAACAACAATAAATTGTGACCAAGAGAGAAAAAATACTGAAAATACTGATCCAATAAATACAATTATCTGAATAAAGTTAATCGATAACGAATAGGAAAACAAAACAGAAAATATCTTGCCAAAAAAAGAAAAAAAAACGATTTTTCCCGCTTACCGACATGGACAAAGTTCATTCATATTCATGTATTTAAAATTTTAGCAACAAAACAAAATATCTGACGACGACGACAATAATGATGATGATTAAATTGTTTACATATCGACTATTTTCCTACCAGCAATACCAAGATGCCATCTGGGTCCTTTATATGAGTAAAAAATTGATGAAAAATAAAGAATATTAAACATTTACAATTCTATATACTTTTCACCCTTAGTAAAAAACAAAGCCTAATTATTCATTCCTTGCGATATGTAAAGTGGCAAAAAAATAGCTGTCATCCTCATTGTTTATAATCAGAATCTAATAGGATTTTCATTCATTACACATTACAATTTTTTTTGTTTCTGTTTTTTTCAATTCTATTTTGAATATTCCGAAAAAAAAACTTTCTACTGATTCTTTAGATTCTATAGTATGAAGAAAAATGACAGCATAAACATCACACATCAACATCCATTTATTTTTATTTTTCTCTATCGCTCACTTTCTTTCGCTCTATCTTTTATTAAGGGATGCTTTTTTTGCTTATCCTCGCTTATATTATGATGATCCAAATTGGAATGTTTGCCGATTGCTGATTATTTTTGCCCAAGGCGTGAATTAAGCTATTTTTTCTCTTCTTTCCTTATGGGCTACATTATTCTATTGGGCATACTAGTTAGTTTAAACAGGATATTCTATTGCAGGATTAGAAAAACAAAGAATGATATATACAGCAGAAGAAATTAGCGTTTGTGTACTATTCTTACTGTTGGAACTTTTTTTTTGTTTGAAGTTTGAATGAATAGAAAAAAACGAAGTGAAACTTTATTTGTTGAACAAAACAAAAAAAAATTAGTGAGATACAGAATCATTTATAAATATATTCTTTTCTGTGTGTACTTTATAAGTGTGAGCATGTGTATCTGCTAATTTAGTTCAATAATTGAAAGTCAGTTGAAAATTAAATTAGAAATTATTTTTCTCCTCTTCATTCATTCTTTTTTTCCAGTGAATAAATGAGTCTTTGATTAATCAATTGAAGAAAGAAAATAAAATAAAAACTATAGAGTTATCGATTCGATTAAATTCTATTTGCTTAAATGGATCGATTTAGAGAAATTTTTCGATTTTCACTTCTGTTTCGATTGATATTTTTTTGGTATACATATGGTAGCCATGTTTCATATTTGTGAAGAATTATTTTATCCTTACAACATTTACAATATGGACACAGATAAACAAACAAACAAAATAAACCAAAATAAAAATGTCTATATATTTACTCATTTACTTATTTCAGTAATTTATTCGTACAAAAAAAAAAGTTTTCCATTCAATATTAATGAATGATTTGAAGAATATTTAACAATTCATGAGTCTAATGATAATGATGATGATGATTATCGATGTGATCGCCATATGATGATTTGATTATTATTCGACACCTTTTTTTCTTTTTGGTACCTTTCACACTTTCATTCATTTTCTAAAGCAGAAGTGACAATTTAAATATTAGAATCGTAATAAAATGAAAATAAAATCATTATCGACCACACACACAATACTAATTGAATGAAAATTTGAAATCAACCATATATACCATTCAATGTTGTTTGTCAGTCATTCGGATTTTTATTATTATTCGCGTTTGACGGATTTCTTTCATTCGGTATTTATAATGATAAAACCGTATCGATCTCATTCTCTAATTCTTTTTGGTTGATCAATATTCAAAAAAAAAAAAAAAAAAAACATGACAGATGGCCAAATTAACGCCTATGTTTGGTGTGTGTGACACGTACCTATCAATTGATTGAACATTTAGAACACACACGCACACACACACATATTGAATGATTACGATTTTTTTTTTTCGTTCGGGATTGTATTGCTGGCCGTGTGATGATGTCAACACCGCCAACACAATACAATTTATAATGAAAATATAACAAAAGTAATGGAAGAAAGAAGCTAATTTAATTTGATCGTTTAGTATAAGTAGACTTTTTTTTAGCACCATCTCATCTCACCATATTACAAATCATCATCAACACCACCAAACACCATTATAACATTTAACAATAGAAGATCCAAGAACATTTAATACAATGCCAATGTGAACCATTGGTGTCTCTACACATTCTCCAGAGATTTACTCTCTCTCTTTTTTTTGGTTATATTTACTCTTGATCCAACATCTCATATATATCAATGGGTCCTTTAATTTTTATGTTGAAAACAAAAAATAATAATAATAAAAATAAAATATAATAATCCTCATTCGTTTACAATGACAACGTGTGTCACACACGCACAATTCACACTGGCGACCAAAAATCGTATTTTTCATCATTATCATCATCATCAATACATTATTCCTGGTATACAAGTGACTTTTTACGCTGTTTTTTTCTTTTTTTCGATCATATCCAAACGTAAATGATGATAATAGAATACTGTCTCTCATTTGCTGATGATGATCATTTCAAGTGTATTCATACAAACACAATATGTGTTTCAAAAGTAATCTAAATTTGAATGATAATTGAATGATGAAGAAGAAATCAAATGAATCATTGAATTAAATGTCATTGTTGATAATAATAATAATAATAATGGGTTTCCCTACTATAGTAATATTGTTTAATTTAATGGTCATTAATTTAATTTGATGATTTGTTGTTTTGTGTAAATCAATTTGTCTTTTATTCGTATGTTTTTTTTGTAATTGAAATTATTGGTAATAAATTTTTTTTATTTCATTAAAAAATATCTATTAGGCCAAAATAATTCAACAACAATGATTGGTAAATCACGAAGACCACGAACAGCATTTACAAGTCAACAATTACTTGAATTGGAAAATCAATTCCGTATGAATAAATATCTATCCAGGCCTAAACGTTTTGAAGTGGCCACTAATTTATGTCTATCCGAAACACAGGTAAAATAATAAAACACAAAAAATTTTCAGAATTTTTTCGCTTCTTTTTAAATTTATTATTATTTTATTGGAAAAAATAAGTCATGCGAAATACAAATGAATGATGCCAATATCAACATAAAAGATGTTTTTTTTCAACTGAGAATTCTAACAAAAAAAAATCCTAATATGAATCAATTTTGTCTAATAAATTTCCATTACATTTATTTAGATTTGATTCCATCATCATCATAATGATGATGATGATGACAATTTGCCATATGTCATATTATTAATATCAGAATTTTATCTCTATTTCTCTTTTTTGAAAACAGAATTTTGAAATATAAACAGAACAGACTTTACAATTAAAGTCAAATAATGATAAGATTCCATTAATTTAATTGAATCACTAGAATTTCACACACTTAGACAAATATAAAATTATAAGTACACAGTTTCAGTTTAGTATAGTTCATTAAGAAACTAAGTTTGACTTGATTTTTTTTTGTCATATATTTGCGATCGGTTAGAAAAACCAACGGCAGGCTGCTGCACAAGGCACGTGTCTTCACTTATTTCATTTTTCAACCATAATATTTATGGGGAATTTGACTTTATTTAATCACTTAATTTTAAACTATTGCTTTAGAAATGATTTTTTTTGTCACTTGAAAAATAACTTGACAATCAAATGAATTATTTACTTTATAACAATAAATAGGTGAAAATCTGGTTTCAAAATCGTCGAATGAAATGGAAACGTAGTAAAAAAACGGCACAAGAAACAAAACAGAATTTATCATCATCATCATCGAAATCATCATCAACGGCAACTGCCAAAAATAATAGATCAGGCAATACAGTATCAACAACAATGGCCACAATGAATCAGGATTCAAGTGATGGTCGAATGTCGGCTAGTGACAATGATTATGATTCGGATAATTCTAATCCGGTTCATTATTCTGATGATGAAAATAATCCAAGCATTGATGGAAGAATAACAAAATCTTTATCAGCAAATGGTGGATCATCATCATCATCATCAACAGTGACCGTCGGTGATCGATCATCAACACCATTATCGTTATTCAAAACATTGAAATCATCGCATGAAAATCAGGTTATTATTGAACATCATTCACATCCACACAATCTTCATAATCCAGTGATGCCTCTATGGATTGAATGTGGACGTTATGCAAATAGACATTCACCCGGTGAAACAATAGATATTGGTAAAGTAACAACGTTAAGTGGAAAAAACAGCGGCAACGTTAATCATAGCGGTAATCATGTTGTCGGTAACAATACATCAACAGGATCCCATCATTTACATGGAACAGGAACTATTGGTTCGGTTGAACCATTCTATAGACAATTTGTAAGCTAAATCAGCAATCATTTTATGATGATTATTATGAAAACAATATAATTGCAATAAATAACATTGTGTGTACAGAATAAAATTTTTTGATTGACAAAATTTAATTTATACATTATCATCATATTTCCATATAAAATGTAGATGATCACACATCCATACACAAACAATGAATAAATATTATATTAAACGATGAAAATAAATGATGAAAATTTTCAATCTGTTTTTGTTCATTCGAGAAATAAAATATGATTCGCGATTTTTTTTTCTTTATCAACCATAACAATACAAAACATTTAGGTGAATGTTCATGCTCATCTTTTTTTTCGGTTGTTGTAATTTGGATTGTTTTTTTTGTTGTTGTAAATTATTTTCACAAAAAAAAAACAATTTTCATTATTTTTTCAAAACAATAACAATAATAATAATAATATGATAAAAAATTAAGCTTTTTTCAAATGATAAATTTAATTAATTTTAAAATATGAAAATATTCAATATTTATGATTAACGAGAAATTGGATTTGTTTCATCATCCACTATGGACAATATGAAAACGAATGATCTCTTCCTGATTATAAAGAAAATGATCAATTAATCATTTTTCAATTTTTTAATGGATAACAATTCTATAGATTTTTATTTATTTTTATTTTCTCATTTTATTTATTTATATATCTCACTGATTGGATTCAATTGGCTATTAAATGATTGATCTGTTTGTTTCATTTGTTTTTGTTTTTTTTTGGTTTCACGTTCACTTATAGTTGGGCGATCACGAATCAATCGATTTTTTTTCGAAATGAATGATAAAATAAATGAAAACAAATATTGATTCGAAATTCGATCATGAAGGAAAAAAAAGAAGAATTAATAGCCTTTATCGTTAATAGATTTGCTTTAAATTAGTTTGCAAAGCTGTTAAAAATTCTTTACTGTTTTTTTTATCATTCAAAATACTTGAAAAAAAGAAAAAAAAGAAAGTTTATTCCTCTTATTTGATAAACGAAAAAAAAATCAAAAATTCAATTCAATATCATCGTTATATGTCTAATGGTGTTTTCTGTTTTACATTTTTTTTTTCGTTTCGTAATAAATTGTTTTTTAAACAAGAATTTAGTTAACATTAATTAGGAATTAGTATATGGAAAGAAATAAAAAAGACTGATGCTTTGAGTGAAAATTAATTTTATCATCATCAACATTGTGATAGCAAGTAATCATTATTATCGATTCGTAACCACTACTTTAACTACATATAGTTACTTTGGTGGCTAATGTTATGTTTGAAATAAAATTGATGATTACCATTGTTATTGATGAGCAATGAAAGGCAATGTAAGTAATAATATTGTTTCGACAATGAGAAAGATAAACGATGATCGAATTAAACTTGTGAAACGACCATACATCCCAATATATACAGCTAAATTTAATTATGTTGATTGCTCTGATGTTGTTGTTGTTGTTCGATTCTTTTTCCAATAGATTCGTGTTTGTGTGGATCCAAATGACAAACTCCAAAAAATTTCCCCATTTTCGTTATTGCTTCAATGAATGGAACAGATTCTTCGTCAAAGTTCCAATTCAATCAAACATCAACGAACGATGAACAATGTTGTTTAACAAATTTGTTCGAGCATTCCCGTATGTTTCCGTTGTATGACAATGCGATTGCCTTAATTTTTCACATTTCATTCTCACTCATTCATGTTCATGTTGAATTTACCATATACAGATACACAAACAACTTGCTTATTCTTTACACTAGAAAACTATAAGTTCGGTGTACTGTTTGAATTAGAATTCACTTATATTGCATCATATACACAACAAAATGTTAGCACATTACGATAAATGGCCAATTCCCATAGCGAAATTCAATTTAATTGACAACTTTCATTCATTTATTCATTCTCTATACATGATTCTGTTTCATAATTCAAATATGTTTCTGGGCATTTGAACCTCCTGTAAGTATATATCAATATATTAATATCCAAACAGTACAACCTATACCGAATTCTGGGTGGTATCTTGATTATTATATTAAATAAGAATTTGTCACCAAGTCGGATTCAATGGATATGATATTATTATTACCGGAAAAAAGCATCAATATATAGAAATTGATTTGATGTGATCAGAATAGAGTGATTGAATTTTCGTTCTATGGATAATCAAGCTTATCCGAAAAAAAACATAGTAAACAATACCAAAAAGAATTCCATCGTCTCAAAATGAACATGATATTGAACATACTGGTCTTGTTATAACACCCAATTAGATTCATGAAAATGATAGCAGTAAAAAACATTTAGAAAAGATTGAACGATGTTCATTTCACCATGATAATCACCATTGATAACTATGATGATGCGCATTGTATACTTCAATCAGATTTAACAGGAATATATTAATGTCCTAATATTTGTCTCTGCTTTTGGCTGTATTATTTCATCATGCTAAGCTAAGCATAAAAATATTTAGAAAAACCAAACCAAGCCAACCAGATAATACATGGCTGTCGGAAATTCCTTTGAAGACAAAGTGATCACTGGTAAAATTCCAATTACCAAATTACATTAGCGATAGCGATTCCGATCTAATTTATAATATGATAATAGAATTAATTCAAACAAATTGATCATATTACCCGTCAACATTATCGCTATGTCATCATCATCATATTGAGACAATCAAGCTAGCAATTTTTACTTTTTTTCTTTGACTTGATCAATGATATCATTGCTATATTGCTCATAAAGTATCATATTAGAATCAATTGTCAATTCATTTATTTAAATTTATTATGATCATATTATTGTTATTGTCGCCTTAGGTAAATATTAATAATACAATCAAATTTCATATAAAGATTCTCAAATATAGAATTATATATGATGTGCATAAAAATTAAGGAAAATTTTTTCCAATGAATTCTAGTGACGAAATTTTCTTTTGTGAATATTGATTTATTTTCTGATCTAAAACGACTAATTTAAATTCAAACAATACACATTAAACCGATAGATGGCTGTTATCAATTCAAACCAATTTTTCGTTTAAAATATTCAACAGGTGTAAATACGCGCGTCATCTAGTGATAAGCAAAATGACTGATGGTTATATTTTCACTATTGTTCTATTTCTACCTATCATGTTCAATGGTTGTCATGACATGTGATCATTTATTTAAAAAAATCTTTCAGTATTTTCTGTTTAATGATGAATAATAAGCGAAAGGCGTCGGGATCTTTAAAAAAGAAACGCTATGAAAAGATTGAATTTCTTGGAGAAGGTCAATTCGCCACTGTATATAAGGCTCGAGATGTTCAAACAGAACAAATTGTAGCCGTCAAAAAGGTTTTTTAATCAAGTTCTTGAATACATATACTTAATATTTTAATAATTATTAGATTAAACTTGGATCTCGATATGAGGTACGAGATGGAATCAATCGGACGGCGCTTAGAGAAATCAAGATTTTGCAAGAGTTGTCTCATGAAAACATAATAGGGGTGAGTGTCCATTAAAATGACTTGTTAAAACAATAACAATTCGCTTCTGTCATTACAGCTATTAGATGTATTTGGTCATGTTTCCGAAATATCACTTGTTTTCGACTACATGATCACTGACCTAGAAGTAATCATAAAAGATACAAACATATTTTTGACTCCTGCCAATGTTAAATCATACATAATAATGACCCTTAAAGGTCTTGAATATCTGCACGCCAAATGGATTTTACATCGTGATCTCAAACCTAACAATCTGCTAATCGATGGGAATGGCGTACTTAAAATTGGTGATTTCGGTTTAGCCAAATCTTTTGGATCACCAACGAGAGTACTGACAAATCAGGTTGTAACTCGTTGGTATCGTGCTCCAGAATTATTATACGGTGCTCGAATGTATGGTACAGGTGTCGATATATGGGCAGTTGGTTGTATCATAGCTGAACTAGTCATACGGCTTCCTTTTTTCCAAGGTCAAACTGACCTAGATCAATTGCTTAAAATATTCCAGGTGACGGGCACACCAAATGAGACAAATTGGCCCGGTGTGACAAATTTACCTGATTACGTTAAATTTAAAGTGAATGAACCAGTGCCGTTCGAAAATATATTCACGGCTATCAAAGAAGATTTAATACAAGTTCTAAAATCGATGCTGGCATTGGATCCTACTCGTCGATGCACGTGCTCACAAGCATTACAAATGGCCTATTTTCATAATGATCCACCTCCAACTCCTGCACATTTATTGCCCAAAGTGAAAAGTGAAACGTCTTCTGAAGCTACCGCAATCATTGATCAAACGGGCGAACCAACATTGAGTGGTACTAAAAGAGCCGGTCTTTTTAGCTTGGATAATGTAATAGCGCCACCGCATGTAAAACGATTAAATTTTGATGATGATTAATATGAATGATTGTTATGTAATTATAATGATTGACATGCAACAATAAATAGTTGTTCTACATATAATACAAATAGATAATATAGGGATGTACAATTTGAGTTTGTACCATTCTCATAATTGTATAATTCATGTATGTACAAATGACAAAGTAGCATCGCATTTAAATGAGACGCTCTTCCGGTGGTGGTTTAAGAATCTCTCCAGCAGAATTTCCGAACATTTCCTGTGTGGATGGGGAATAAGTGCCACGTGTTGCTCGAGCTCGTTTTATGCTTCGAAATACGATCGACATGATGATTGCTAAAGCTATAGTCATTATGGCGCCCACAGATGCAATCAATATGATTACCAGGTTAATCCGTTTCTACATAGAAAAATAAAATAAAACCGAATGAGAAAAAAAATAGAACTTAAATATTGTCAAACCTTTTTTTCGCATATTAATCCTTCATAATCGTCTGAACAGATGCAGTAATAGCCACGACCTGATTGTACACATGTTCCGCCGTTCTGGCAAAGACCGGTGGCCAAGGAGCAATCATAAATCGGATCACATAGCGAACGATTATATAAGCCTGACGGATTCGGCAAACAAGCACAAAGGGTATGTTGCATTGACATATGTGATACTTTTTTCACACAATGTGAATGCTCTGGATGACATTCAGGCATGTAACATGAACGCCGTCGATCACATCGTTCACCTAAATAGCCAATCGAACATTCACAACTATACGAATCGTTACTCTTCTTCAAACAAGTGGCTCCATTCCGGCATGGTGATGAAATGCACGGATCGATTAGGTATTGGCATATTTTGCCTTCATATCCGTAAGGACATTGACATGAATAAGAATTGACTTCATCTATACAAATGCCTCCATTCTGACAATGGTTGATTTGGCAATCGTCTTTGTTGATCTCACAATCGATGCCTTCGAATCCAGGTACGCAAGTACAAGTATAACCACCGCTACTAACAGCTTGATGACCATGTCGCAAAACGGTTAATTCGTCTAGTTCATATTTGTCGCGAAAATTCGGTCCAAACAATGATGTATCGTGGGTTTTTTGTTGACAAGTACCACCATTTTGGCATGGATTTGATTCGCATTCATCGATGTCGATCTCACAATGATGGCCGGTAAAACCAGGTCGACAATGGCAACTGTAATTGAGGTGCAAATCCTCGCATCTAAGTGTTCCAGATTCAGAACAAGGCATCGGTTGGCAGTCATCGATTTCTTTCTCACAATGGGAACCTTCGAATCCAGTTTCGGTACAATTACATTCAAATGCATTTACCAAATCAATGCAGCGACCCCCATTCAGGCATGGATCATTTCCACTATTGACTAATTCAATACATTCGTCAATGTCGTGCTCACAATGCTGACCACGGTAACCTGAGAGGCATTCGCATTCATAAGTGCCATTACTATTTACACAGGTGCCATTATTCAGGCAAGGACTTTTAATACATTCATCAACATCTTGCTCACAATGATCGCCTTCAAATCCATGCTGGCATTGGCAATGGTAGCTAGCCAACTCGTTGATACAGCGGCCGCCATTCTGACAAGGATTCTGAATGCATTCATCGACGTCCAAATGACATTGTGATCCTTGAATGCCGGACGGACATTGACAAAGATAGCCACCGATCAAATCAGTACAGGTTCCACCATTTTCACATGGATTTGATTTGCATTCATCGACTTCTATTTCACAATTCTTGCCGGAATATTCAAGTGGACAATCGCATTCATAAGTAGACTGCAAATTTTTGCAGGTACCATTGTTTTGGCACGGACCAGAAAGACATTCGTCAATGTCCAGCTGACATAACGGACCAGTATAGCCAGGCCTACAATAACATTCGAAGGAACCAGGTTGATTGACACATAATCCATGAACACATGGGTGGTGGACTGCGCATTCATCTATATCTAGTTCACAATATTTGCCCTCATATCCAGTTGCACAGTAACAACTATAATTTGTCAAATTATTCAAACAGGTACCATTCTGACATTTATGTTGCTTGCAATGATCTATGCGGTCTTTGCATCGGACTCCCTCAAAACCAGCCGGGCATTCGCAACGGAATCCATTGATCAAGTCGATGCAAATCTGTCCATCGCTACAATTGTGCTGTTGAGCACAATCATCGATGTTGATTTCACAATGATCACCTGTGAATCCTAATGGACAGCTACAATTGAATGATAGGAAATCTTGTGCGGTTACGCATTGACCTCCATTTTGACATGGGTTTTGTTCTGGTGATTGGCATGGATCCCATAATTCTGTACAGTTCGTACCGTGAAAAGGCTGGATGCATTGGCATGTAAAATTGTTAATTCCGTCAACACAATGGCCCTCATTTTTACATGGATTTGGCTTTGGGCAGTCATCGATGTTGTGTTCACAATTTTTTCCTAAAGTCAAGATTATTGTTAACAAATTGAATGCATGAAAATAATCTGCACCAACCTTCGAATCCATCTGCACATAAGCAAATGGCAAGACCATCGGACCCAATTTGACAATGGCCATTGTTGAGACAATTGATTGTATCACATGTGTGTAAAATATGTTCACAATTATCGCCATGGTAACCTAACCAAAGTAAATCATTATTACTATTTGTGACATACAATTTATAGTTGGCCACTATCAATTATCAAACATACCCGGTCGGCAAAGGCAACTTGCAATGGTCGAGTTCTCAATTAGATTAAGGCTACATGTGGCACCGTTTTGGCAATTATGATTCAATCCACATGCTTGATTGCGGTATTCACAACGTGGTCCACTGAAATTTCCAGTGCAAAAACAATACACTTCAGCATCACTGACTACTAAACATTGACCCGAATTTTGGCAATGGCCATGACGACAACGACAGAATTCGTCAACGCAATCTGAATGTTCGGGACAATCGTCTTTTGATTGACATTTTAATTCGGCATCGATACCATAATGACCGTCACGACCGATCAATGGATTGATTGTAGATGATTCTAATAACAATGAGGACAATGGTGGCAATATCGTCATTGTTTCCCCGTTTGATTCTTCAACCGAACCTGGATGACTCATTTCTTCGTTTGTCATGTTTAGTAGGGCCACTATTGGTCCTGTAGTTGTTGGGGCAGTTTGTTCGTCATCATTATGATGAAACCATGAATCTGATGGCCATTGTTGGCCATCGCTAATAGTTGTATATGGCAGTGATTGACAATCCAAAATTGATACCAAATTTAAGATAATGACGAATGTTGTAAAAACTATTCGACGTTTTGGTTGATTTGGTAGTCTGATTGTGGTCAACATATTGAACAGACAACACAGTCTAAGCTTATGGAATATTAGGAATGAAACAAAAAGATGTAACAAGATCATAGGATGATTTCCGTTATTCATCTATAAATTAGCCATTTGAATAAGGAACAATCGATGCGTTTATTCGGTGGTCACAATCCTATAAATGTCGTTGAATGTAAAACGGTCTTCATTCAAATGAAGACCAATTGCACGATGATTGTAGCATTACACATCCTGTGATTATTATTATATGAAATGATGATTTGGTAATTTTTCTACGAACTATAGACAATGTAAATATGACCTATTGTTGGCTTGAAGTGAAAAGGATGATTTAGTCACCAAGTCAGTCAGTTAATTTCACTCGATCAATTGAGGAAACGATCGATTCAAAAATCTATTCATTCACTCTATACGATGATTGTTTGTCACAATATGCATAATCAAAACAGGAGTCCACTATCAAAATTGATGTGGTGCTTGTTGTAAACTTCCTCAAATTCGTATTAAATATGATTACCTTAGACCAAGTTAGAAAAAATTAACAATAATACAAACTGTCGGACCGCAGAAGCCCACAAATACTATACATTTACTTTATATGTTGATATTGTGGGATGATTTACCGATGAAACTTTTTTTTGATTATTGATGAAACTATTTGAGCAGCCAGACAGCTTTTTAAGCATCGACGTCACTCATTTAACAGTCTTCAACAGGTATGATGTACTCGGCATGACTCATTATGTAGCTTCCATTAGTGGTTAAAATTTCATCACAATCAACAGGTATTCTATATGCTGCTCGATTCCTCTGTGAGTATGTTTCAATATTACCACTGCCCCAGTCTCTGCCCTTTGGCCAATACACCATTGTGAATCCATTGAGATGGATTGGTGAGCAACCACTTGTTTCTATGACCACCGCTACCATTTGTCCTGCATTCCTTTAGTTTATTCGAATGGATTATGTTTCAAAAAAATAAAAGAGCTACAGAACATCTTGACAAGTCGATAATGGTTCATCATAATATGACAGTTATACCTATTATCTTATGGTAAAAATAGCCAATAATCACAGCCGATTCAAATCATAAACAGGAACGAAAAAAATCCAACAGACAGGCTCCGATTGCAAAACCGATTGTTGAAAACAATTGTGATTCTATTAACATTATTGTTCGAAAGGCATAAACACATTTTTCACTTCTCATTCTATATTTATAACAGAAAGTTTGAACAAAAACGTATCGTTACCCTTAACACCTATCGTAGGAAAACGAATAAAAAAATAATAATGAATTTAGAATGCGACCTCCGGGTCTAAACGTCATTTTCACACTTCTAAGACCCACCCTTCATTTGGAACGCAAATTCGAATTGAAAAACGTCCTATATGAACAGACGCCTTTAATAAAATTGTTTCGATGAAAGCTGAGCGTTATAAAAGTAAAACGTAAAGCGATAACTGTAAACAACCACACAGAAAAATGGCAGTAGTGCTTTTTTCATTTGGTAGTGCACACTAATGAAAAAAACACTGCCAGCTGGTAGTTTACACTGCTTGTTCGTAGCTTTTTTTTAACTGGTAGCACACTACTATCAAAAAATCATAGCAATTGGTAGTAAACTATACGAATTGGTAGTGTCGTACCATTTGAATATATTGAAATACCATGTCATTTGGCAGTATAGTCTACTAATTGATATTACACTATCATCAAAATGCCATAACAATTGGCAGTATAGTATACGAACTGATAGTGTATTACAAACACTATCAATTCGAATAGCATTCTCGTACACTACTGATTATAATTTAAGAATTAGATTGTTTTTTGTATTTGATAAAAAAAA